TGGTCGTATCTCGAAAATTTCGTAAGTAGGGGCGTTCGTAAGTAGAGGTACCACTGTATTGCAAAAGGAAGCCAGTTTTAGCCTATTAAATTCCAAAAGACACTACAGGTGGGATCACCTACTCATCCTTGACTGATTCTGAAAAAACTAGGCAGGGTTAGCCCTCATCAGTACCTGAACAACAGATTACAAAGAAAATTGACAGGCTAGACTAGGAAGTCAAAAATCATTCTAAAAGAAGGCAATGGCAAATCACTTTACCAAGATTAGAGTTCAAATGAAGTCATAATGAAGACAGCTTTATCCAGTGGCATCTGCAAGATGGGGGGATCAAACCAGTAAGATGGCGGACAGATTGTAACAAGAGAAGCTCCATCCCTATGTATGTGTGCTGCTGTCATACACACACTCAAAGGGGATAGCTCTTGCATCACAACTCTGTCTGCATTTCACCAATTAGGCCACTCCCGCAGACACCATCCTTAGTTCAATACATAAATGTTATTGATTATTGGAGTACTCAACTTTGCAGGCCTATATTTGCACAATAATATAGAAATTATATTTTTGTCACTTGCATTAACTATGAAAGGAAAGGATTTGTGAATCTTAATGATTATGAAAGAAATTCTACAAATTCAATTCTGGAAAGGCACTACAAATCCCAAGATAAACCATTCTCTTAAGAATGCTAGCAAGCAACACAAGTTCATGAAAGAAAATGTTGACTCTCATGGCTTGTATGCATCTGCAGGTTTGGAAAGATAATAAATTCTGCATTAAGCAAATTCTTCTCATTTACATCACAGAAAATTGAAAAAGAAAACGAAAGCTCAATAGCCATAGTCCTTCTTATCTTCCAATGGACAATAGTTCTTAATAAGAGCATAATTTACTGTATCTTTCAAGAGCTGACTAAGCAATGAGAAAATATGGGAAGCTAATCTCTGATCACTTCAGAAAGTTATTTTCTTAACATAATTTCTTTACAGTTTCCCCTCCCTCCAATTCTCCCACAAAGTAGAAAAAGATAATTCTTTATGATAAGTTTCCTGAAAATAATGCACATAATGCAATGAATGTAAGAGAAATATAAAGATTATTATTAATAATAATAATTTATTAAATGTGTACGCCACCCATCTCCCAACAACTCTGAGTGGTTCACAACAAAGAAAGAAAGAAATTAAATAAAATCAATAAAAGATCAAAGATGGCAAGTGCAATAAACCAGACAGAATGAAGCGGGTGGTCTTACTCTTCCTCTCCAAAGGCCTGGGTGAAGAGCCAAGTCTTCATGGCTCTTCTAAACAACAGCAGATAGGAGCCATCCGGATCTCGGGGGAACCTCGTTCCACAGGGCAGGAGTTGCTACAGAGAAGGTGCACTTCCAGGGTCCTTATAGATGACATTGTTTAAACAAAGAAACCTGGAGGGCATCAACCCTGTGAGATTGAAGTGGTTGGGCAGATATTATGGGAGACAGGTAGTCCCTCAAGTAACCAGGCCCTATGACATGTAGGGCTTTATAGGCAAGAACCAGCACTTTGAATTGCTCCCGGAAGCCAACTGGCAACCAGCCCAGCTTGTGAAGCAGAGATGTTACATGGGCATACTGAGGTATGCCCATCACTGGTTGTGCTGCTGCATTCTGAACCAAATGAAACTTCTGGGTGGTCTTCAAGGCCTTCCTTTGCACAACTGGAGCACCAGATGAAGTTGTGCAAAGGAAGGCAGGAGCTGCAAGTCCAGAAAGGCTCCCAGGTTGTGCACCATCCCTGAAGGGGGAAGTGCTACCCCATACAGAGTCAAACATGAAGGGGCATTTTATCATGTATGGTGGACTTGTGAAAAAGTGAAAAGTTACTGGATGCAAATACATATGGTGATGCTGAGAGTTTTAAAAATTAAAATTCAGATGAAACTGGAACTTTTCTTATTAGGATTTATGGACACTCAACTAGAAAAGGCTCATGGACAATTGGCTTTATACAGTATATGGTAACTGCAACGAGGCAATTATATGCACAAAGATAGAAGACTACAGAAACACCAATAACAGAGGAATGGATCGTGAAGATGGCTAAGTTTGCAGAAATGGCTAAACTGACTTGTTTGATTCAGGAGGGAACTATAACTACTTTTATAAAAGACTGGAAAATCTTTATAGATATTTTTTGCTGAAAATGGATAAAAATGAACAGCTGATTTCTGGATTTATTAATTTAAAAGGTTTGTTTATGGGAAGAAGGGAATTATGGTATGCAATACGGGAGGGTGGAGATGGTAATTGCTATGTTTTTGTAACTGCTGTAAAGATCAGAAGTCGCTTCTTTAGATATCTTTCTTTTTCTTGCTTTTTTATTATTCTTCACTTTTTTATCTTTTTATAATCTTTTTCTTTATCTATGTTTCTGTCATTTTTTAAATCTTTGCAAAATCTTCTTTTAATAAAAAATATTCATTAAAAAAAGTGAAAGATGGAATATCCTCAGATCTGGGTGGATCCAGACACCCACAGCCACTCAGTCTTGGTAGAATTGAGTTGGGGATGGTTCCTCACCATCCAAATCCGCACAGCCTCCAGGCACTGGGGCAGAACCTCAACAGCTTCACTTGGCTTGCCCAGGATCAAAAGATATAACTGGGTAACATCAGTATACTGATGATACCAAGCCCAAACTGACAGATCACCCAGCAGTTTCCCGTAGGTGTTGAAAAGGAGGGGAGAGAGGATAGAACTCTGTATCCCTTCCCATGCTTAAGTCCCACTGATTTCTATAGTCCCACTGATTTCTATAGCCTCCACTATCCTAAATACCTAAATACCTTAAGTATAACAACAAAACTCAACTAGCCACAAGCAATTTTCCGAAATAAAGACAACAGTCAGTCCATGGAAGGAACAAACATTTTAAAACAGAAAAATTGTTTGGGATTACTGAGGTTTTCTCAAATGTTTCATCTTTCACAAATGTATTAAAAAGGTTTTATTCAATCACTTAAATACCTCAATATTAAAAATCATGATAATTGCAGCAAACGAAGTATAATACACACATATTTAATTTTGCCCAATACTCTATATCCTTACACATATGGAAGTGAGGAATTTCCACTAACTTTACAGGAGATATAAATCTAAAGCTAATTCCTAAATGTCTCTCTTTTTGTTCACAATATGTTAACCTGCTCTCCCCTCCTGTACTATATGATCCATGGAGGCAGGGAATTGTGCAAATGCAAAAGCCAATATAAACCCAGCAAAAAAAAAATCATTTGATAAGAAAACAGAAATAAACAATGACTGAATTGCCTGGGGATTTCCACACACTAGGCAAACATCCGTATCTGTTAATCCTGTAAATGAAAAGTCCTTTAGACCAACAGAAATTAGCATGCCTAATTATTGGCTTGTGGACCATAATTTACATTATCTTATTTTTTATGCACTTTCTAATGTGCATTTTTCTAGCCACTTAAAGATAACTTCATAACCCATTTTTTTAAAATAAAATTAAAACTCCGATCAAAATCATTTAGGGGCATTATCTGGTGCCCCACCTTAATGCCTCAACTCCTTTCAACTGCACAAATTAGTTTGCAGATGATGATCCCTTTTCTCTCTCAGATGCCACACCTGGCCTTGTGTGTTTAAGGGTGTAAATGCAGTTGGTATGTACCAAATGCTGATTGGATTTCCCCTTAAAATAATGCCCTTCCTTTTTTTTTTATCACAGCTTACTGTAGCTTGTGTTGGTGCATGTTTATTCATGTTGCTAAACTGGGGTCAAACGACTATTATACTTTAGTCATGCTCCGCAGGCAACAAATAAAAATAAAAAAGGTTTTTAAGAGCAGAGGAATTCTTCTCATCATACCACGCTACAGCACAAGCATATTTTTGTAAATCTGCTCTCAGTTTCAAAAGAAGATTTATCTTGTTATATCTCTATATAAAAGTGCTATTCAAGATACCCAAATATAACTATTTGAGCATAACTAGAACTAATCACACATTTAAGCCAGTATTACTATGTGAGACATACCTAAACTCGGTTACCTGTAATATAGAGATTTACTTGCATAATTCAGGTGTTGGTAATGTAGGGCTCAAAGTGTGTCATGGCATCAACAATCCCCTTAAAAATGCCTACTGATTTTCACAATTATGTATGTATGTGTGTGCATGCTTTACAAATAAATAAATGGTAGAAATCTTATGAGCTAGTCAAATCATACAAAATGTCTGTGTTATTGAATGAGATGCTGGCCTCTTCCTTTTTTAAAACCGATTTCCTGGCACCTACAGCATAGCTCAAAAAGGGCCTGAAAGGGTGGCCAACATCTGGCACAATGAAACTTCTTTCACAGATATGTATCCATTCCACTTTTGTTACATGATGCTTTTAAAATGTATTCCAAGCCTAAAAAGCTGTGTGTAATGTGCTTTAGTAACCAACTGTATTGAACACAACTTTTAAAAAAATGCATGCATTATGCCACCCATAATACATTTATCAAGCTTAGGAGATACATTTGTATATATTTATTAATCCTGGCTTTTAAAGAAAACATATGCTTGTCTAAACTTTGTGTATTAGATATCTACACAAACAAATATACACAAAGAATTCATTACAACAAATCCAAAGATTTCAGTAATGTTTGGTCATGAGATAACAATGCATGCATGCTTTTTCCTTCCTGTATTTTATTTGCTGAACAAACATATTTTAAATCCAATCCAAGATAAAAACAAAGGAAAGCTGAAGAGAAGTTAAAGAATAACAAAAACACTAACAGAAAAATAAACAATGAAGGCTCACAGGTTTTGGGAATTATGGCCAATATTGCACTATTAAATTATTTAAATATAAAATTTAACCCTATCTTTGTGAAAGTTCATCAATAATTATTATACATGTCTTTAAATTAAAGAGATTCAATAATGCTTAGACAGATGATAATCAACATAATTAAAAGAGCACTATCAAACATACACACACACTCCAATAGGACTCCAAATTTTGTTGCTTATAAACATTATATTTGATGATGACTACAAAGGGGCCTTAAAGTATCTCTTCAGCAATTTGAACAGGATCAAAATTGATGGAAGGAGGAATTTTTAGCTTTGCTGCGATCCAGAATCTTGGTGTGGGCAAAATATCTGTTTTCTTGCTGTTATTAGTATCAGATAATCAACTGTCATTAAGAGGATGAAGCTAAAGACTTTTCCCAATAATGTTGATGAAGATCACAACATCAGTGAAAGGGTAAAGGCCCTCATCAGTTGACCCGTAAACTGCTATGGGGTTGTAGAGGAAGCTGTATGTGGCTCCTCCCCAACATACACACACATACTTGCTACCAGCGCCATCAATTCATGAGCCCTCTCTCCAAAAATGTAGTCAAATCCTGTTTTAGTCACTGGGAATGTTTGAGAGCCAGCTTTTATTTTCTATTGCCAAAAGCTAACTAGACTGTGTTGGTGGACAAAACAGATCTTGTAAACAATTTATCAACTAATATCATTATAGGATTTGTTTATTTATATAGTCAACACATTTCTACCCCACCACAATCAAAAATGACTTTCAACAGCTTACATAGACTATAAATAGAAATAATTTAAAACATCCACAAATACATTTGAAACAAATGGAGGAACACAACAAACATCAGCAACAAAAACAACAATCAGAAAAAGGACTAAAACTAAAACAATAAAAGATAAAGGATGGCATCATATATATATACAGGGGAAGCCCTCTGAAACAATTCCATTTTCAACATTTTCCCAAAAATCAGCAAGGAGTCTAGCCTGATTTCAACCAGGAGGCTGTTCCATGTCATCAGTGCTGCCACAGAAAAGCAACGCCATCTTGCTTCAGGCTCCCAAACTTCTTGAAAATGAGGGATTAATGTAACTAATGAATTAATTAAATTATAGAATAGTAGTTGAATCATATGCAGATAAAACATATATATGTATATATACAAAACTCCAATATAAGGAAAACTTTAAGGCATACCAGGGCATCTTACTCCATATTGGCACCCTATGCTTTAGTTGTATTACAGGCCCATCTCACCTTGCCAGCAGTTACGCTGGCTGGGAAAATGGGACTTCTAGTTCATCCTCCTCAGAATGGAGGACTAATGCAGGACTGCCTAGGGAATAAGAACAAAAATTGCTCATTTGCTGCTTGACTGCTAGTTTACAATAGTTTATGAGAACTTTAAAAAGAGAGAATGGTATACTGTAATTGGATTTGAAAAAGATGCATTCTTCAAAACTAATTTCTGGATAGCATCTCACCTGGCTTCTTCATCATTCCATGCAACTCTCATGCCTTTTCCTCCACCACCTGCCGAAGCCTTGATCATCACAGGATAGCCTAGCAGCAGGGAACAATTAGGCAGAAATTTAAATGTTGATCATACATTCATGACAACTGACCACATGTTCAATGACAAGGTCAATAACAAACTTATTAAAAAGCTTTCTGTTGGGAAGAGGAATTTAAACTGCATTACCATTACTGTTGCTTTAATGTCAGCAATCTCCTGAATTTAAGTTTATCAGATTGAATTAGTAATAGCCAATAAAAAAACACAGCATTTTAATAAATATCTAAAGCACTGTCTTTCTATCAAAAGATCCTCAAACAAGCAATACTATTTTTTAAAGAAATTGGAATTTTAACTCAACATGACATGAAGACCTACACAAGAAAAAATAACATGTTAAATTAATGACAACGTTTCATTAACCCAATCCAAGCATCAAGCTTTTAAATATGAAGCAGTCACACAGGCCTTTCTGAGAAGGGTTATCCATACTTTAAACATAACTGTTGAAAACATCCAATATTCAGATAATAGAGAGATCAGTAAAGGAATCTGCAGTGTTAGAACAAACCTTGTGTATTGTACTTCATTCAGCTAACATACTCCCTTCCCTTCCCTTATCTAGCTAACGCCTACCATATAGAGTGACCTTTAAGTTTTGATACCATTTTATCCTAATTTTTAAAAATATGTTTTTTTGTTGAATTTGTCAGTTACTATTTTGCATCCTTAAAAGGAGTTGAAGGAAAAGGAGTTGGCAAGTACTCACTGAAGGAGATATTTAAATTGTTCCAGATTTTAGAGCCTTTAAACTATGATTTGGCTCATTAGCAAAGCATAATCCAGAATCCAGGGCAAACATTTCACCTGAGAGGTTGGAATCCAGTGTTTCTGTTCCATGAGCAAAGGGGTTTCCATGCTCTCATTAAGATCCTTCTCTTACAATGTCATTCTCACTTGATTACCAAATGAAAATCTTTACATTTATCAAAAATTGCTTCTGTGTTGTACTTCATAAGTATTATTACCAGAGTATTAAAATTTAACTATTGTACACGATTGTTGTATCAACTGACCTTATAAAACTTTAATAGCATATTAATGTACACATTCGTCTAGAAATATGAATCAAATAGTTCAATAATTGCAATGAACAAATAAAAATACATGAATTAAAGTTAGAAAAAATGTTAATCAGCATACAGGCAGTATTGAATTTGGATATAAGGAAAGTTCAACTTGGCCAGAACTAATTCTCAATTTACATTTTGTACACTGATCTATAAATCCAAGAACAACTGTACATGAGCAAATACAAGTGTGGAGATCATACATGATTAGATGGTACCTTAATTTGATAATGGGCCAATGCTTAATTCAGATACTACCAATTAACACATAAAATTGTATACTACCAGTGAATCTCCACTCCTGCCTTGCCCCTGATCCTTAACAGTAAAGTTGAGTATCCACAGACAACACCTGTTGCAGAACCAGCCAATGTTCTAAACCTAGGAACCCTGAAACAAGATTTATCCCTGTTCTGCACTTAGCTGGAGCTTTTTTCTAATATGGATATGGACATGCAGTTTGCAGCTTACCACTCCCTTGTGTGGCCAAGAGCATTTCAGGTTGTTCCACTGCCACCTATTCTATCCCAGTGGTTGGGGAAAGTTAATGAAAAATAGGTCTGTCCTGGCTCTGAAAGACCACAACCATGGAAAGCCAGCATGAACCCAGTTCACACTGTAATTCAGGTGATCCAGGAGCTTTCTAGTCCATTCTAATGGAAACAAAGAAGTCACTGCAACATTGCCTCGGGGAAAAAAATGAATGGGTTCTTTTTTTTTTTTTTTGAAGGTTGCAAATTGAAAATGCATATATATAAACTCAGAAGGAATACAATTTATTGCTGAAGATCATTAGTTCTATAAAACAGAATGATAAGGTTATAAATCATATGCACTATGATGGTGTCATATATGATGGAAATTCTCTGGGTCCTTTTATTTTTACCTGTATTTATTATCATTGCTTAAATATCATTAGATGAAGAGATGAGAAATGCCTTTTTTGTTTGTTTGTTTGTTTGCTAATTTCATTTCCAGCTTATTAAACTGCTGGCACACATTGTGCAGATTTAGACATAGTTTAAAAATTTGACAGTGGTAGATAACTTTTTATATGATGGACACAGATTTTATATGATGTGGTTACTCAACTTTCATCTTCATTTTGCTCTGTGTCAACTGCATTGACATACCAAAGAATGATTCCTACCTACAGATTGCTATATAGGATTTTTGTGCCACTCCTGCATGGTAAATTGCTACAACTCAGTATCATTTGAGGATTTTCTAGAATGAATTCCTTGTTTTTATGGGGTTTGGATCTGGAATTTAACCTGGACATTCCAAATTATTCTGGGGTTCTTTTTGACTTCCTGTACAATTGCATGCTATACTCTTCTATTGTTGGAAATATTTACTATGATTTCAAAGCTTCTCCCTATCAAGACTATGTCTCTGACTTCAATGGAGCCCCAGAAATTTAAGAATAGTTTAGTAAACTCTTTCCAGACTGTATCAATCAATCAAGTATCAATGAATACTTATCAGAGGTCTTCAGAAATTTCCTTTGAGTAGGAAATGGTGTGTCCTCTAGAATCTTTGAATGAAGAACTCCAAAATTTATGATATATATATATTAGGCAGGACTGGCCAAGTCAGAACTGAGGTTTTAATGAAGTACACAAGTGGCCCTAGTTATTCCTTAAATTGAATTGACTGAACTAGAGTGTAATTACTTTTTTGCATGGACACACTTCATGTTGGATTACTTCCTTTATGAAATAAATGAAAAAGCACCAAACTTTGGTGTTATTTGTTTACTCAGTCCCTTTATATATCAATACAGCTTGCACAAAGCTCTAATACATTCATTTGCAAAATTATACCAACTTTTTCCCCCAGAATTATAATCTCATTTATATAAAAGCAGAACTGGAGAAAACAAGTCTGCACATTTATTATTCCACAAAGGGTCATTAGGAAGGTGGGATTAATCTCTAAATAATTTGATTTGCTGGCTAGACCTGGACATAGAACACTATCCTTAATTGGACAAAGCATCAATTAGTCTCCCCATAGAGTCTGGCTTTCATTTATGCTCGGTATTTGGTAAAACTGAGAAAAAATACTCAGAGAAAGATGAGAAGGAATAACAAGGAGAACCTGCCTAAAAAGATCAAAGCAAAAGGTCCAGCTTATTCAAGGAGACAATAAATAACAATAGCTAGGCTGACTATATTGATTTTATTTGGAATTCTATACACATGTGATTGTGCCCTTTCCTGTTCTCTTCCTATTTCCATTTCCCAAATAAGCTGCTTTTTGTAACTAGAAATTTAGCTTCGTTTGTTTTAGAAGAGAATTTCTCATTAAAACTTTCCCCGTGTGCAAGGTCACAGTTAGTCAACTATATCTTATGTTTCAAAACAGCCATAAGACTTCTTAAGTTCTGCATTTCTCAATTTTGGGTAGGGAGATGTCAAGCACCTTCCTATTTTCCTAGAGCTGGACTGGAGAGAGAAGTCCTTGGCAATCAGCTGGATTGGGTGTCAGGAGGTTCAGCTTGATTGGTGGCAACCTATCATTATATTTTCAGGGAAATCCTTCAAAGAAAGGGTCTGCCAGTGAGGTTTTAAAATATCCTCCTTCCTAGTTTGGTGCGTGCATCCTGATCGTTGTTTTTTTCATTTAAGAGCATATGTTATAATTATACATTCTACTGATCCTTCACTGTGTTCTCCTTCTGATATGTGAGCCTCTTTCCCTTGTTGTATGCATTTTTGTTCATGAATTTTATTTTACACATACATTGCTATAAGTAATCTAGTGTATAGTACTGCTTTTGCTCGGAGTTTAAAATATATTTGAATATCAGTATATAAGAGGAGTACTAAATGTACCTCTGAGGTACATAAATGAAACCTGCAGTTATTCTCTTTTTGGCACCATTCAGCTGATCGATCAACTGGATGATGGAAAAAAGACTGGTGAGTCTGCACTGCTAATATAATTGCTAGAAGAGCTTTCTCAATTGGGTTCAGTGTGGTAGGGGTGGGAAGGCTTTAGACCATTTCTCCTAGGGATCCTGAAGCATGCAGCAAAGACCACCAGAAATGAAGCAGTTTAATCTCCCACCCTCCACTCTACCATAGTTTCAGGTCAATCACGTTTCTGGGGAATCTTCCTTTCTTGTTTAATACAAATACTATACTAATGCATATTTGTTATTCAGCAACTACAGCATAAACTGTCAACAGACATAATGTTGTTATCTCCTCAAACATCATGCATTTGCTGGATTCTGTTCATCCACTGACTAGCAATTAAAGGTATGATTCTGAAGTGATGCATAGGATTAGCCTATGAGGGCATACTATCAGTGTGCTGTGGAGGACTCTAGTAAAGTGAGAGTTCAGCAGAAGAGAAAGCATTCTCCTCAAGATGTAGAACACCCATAATCTATGTACACTGTACTACCCAACAAAAGGATAGAAAGATATTCATACCCAAAATCGATCACAATTACAGTTACATATGTTCTTGATTAGAAGCCTTTGAATTTTAATCTGAATATTTATATAACTTGGACATTTTCCTCCCACATCTGCTGCCACCTTATCTCTGCCTTTTCATATAGGTTACTTAAACTAAGAAATAACAATTGGCCAAAGGTTTTTGAATAAGCTTTGAAATTGCATTTTATTTTGCTCAGCCCCCCTTTCCAAGACACTATCACAAAATACAGGCCAAGATCAACTATAAAATCAAATTTAATTAGATTTATACTCTCCATGCCACCTTAGCAGGTGGCACCATCTAGTCAACTTTGTCTTATTTCAGAAGCTAAGCAGGATCAACTCTGGTTAGTACTTGGATGGGGGAATTAACTGGGAATTCCAGAGCTGTTGGACAGACCAGATGGTTGATGAAACATCCAGAGCAAGATAGTGGTAAAGCACTTCCTTAACACTGCCAACAAAACTGCATGAATGCAGTCACCAGCAATCAACCTCAGTTTGAGGGGATGGTTACTTCTTACACCTCAGCCACCTCAAAATTTCATAAGATTTTTTTTTAATCTATTTTATAAGATATACAAGTTGTCAAAGTGTAGACAATGATTCTGAGAAGTAGTTTAGGTTCTCCTGGATTCAATAACTTACTTCAAAGGAGTCAGCTGACACTCCCACTCCATATTTCAACCCATTTTTTAAACTCTACTCAATTTCAATAAGGATTTGTTTTGTAAAACAAGTAAGAGGGTCCAATTATTTTTTTAAAAAGTCAAAATCTAATTGGAGGTACCATGAGCATAAATTCTATACTTACTTGTAGCTGACCAAAGCCTGTATCGTAACACAGATCAACAAATGGTTTTGGAAAAATAGAATAAGCACAATTGAAACAACTCTCTAAGAAACAGCCCCGGTCATGTCTTAGCACCTTATTTACAACACGTTTTACACAAACTCATGAAACACCCATTTTTTAAACAGATTAGGATTATGTCATCCTGTTTGCAACATAAATTGCTAAAAGATTTGATAAGATAATATAGAATTACGTATTAAGGTGCAAAGAACTTCTTCCAGTTCTGATAGCAACAGAGGATTTAAAAGCTGAAACCATTTGTTCCATAGGGATTCCTGATTAAACAGATAATTTAGTCAAGAACATCTTCTGAAAAGCATGCACATCTCTTGCAGTCCCAAGGCAAAAAAACCCCTAACTTACCAATTTCCCTTGCAATTCGGACAGCTTCATCTGCATCCTGTAAAAGCAGGAAATTGGACCCACCATTAATCCCATCGGCTACTGTTCAGTGTCTCTAGGGCAATCATATATTACACTGCCTTCTCCGATACATTTAATGTTTGATTTTACAACCTTCTGACCCACTTCATTCAGAGCAATGTAAAATTAATTTCAGTGAAATGTAAATTTTACCTCATCACTGCATTACACTCAGCCCCTAAGCAATAAAGAATCACTTAGTGAAATAGAAAACAAAAAGCAGCAGGACTACAGAAGGATTTCTCAAATTGCTCGAATTATTGAATTTAGATGGTAAAGTAAGAAGTAAAGATCAAAACATTAGGACTTGTCAACTGCCATTCAATTCCCTTTTTGTTTTAAGTTTTTTCTTGTCTTCTCAGGTACCTGTGTATCATGTTGGCCTAGATACAGTCAGCAGGGGGAGTTGATTCTCTATTGTTTGGCTAAGGTTCAGCATCAACACATGTTTTAAAAGATTTACTGAAAAGTTCAAATATAATGTTGCATGAGTCGGGGTGGGGTGGGTGTAATCCAAAAGGTAACCTTAACCTTAAATGAAATTTCTATTCACAGAAGTTAATAGCACTTGGCATTTTTAACAACAGAATAGAAACAGTTACATCTGCTAACTTTTATTTTAGAATTAAAAACTCTGAATATGACATATGGATGGAGAAAGTTACAAAACAAGATAGAAAGCATGGTTCAAATAATGGTTAAGAATAAACAGAAAAGACATAATCAGTTCACTTTTCTGTACAAGGTCCCAATTCCCAGCATTTTCAGTTTAAATAAATCTTAGGAGGTTAGGAAAGTCCTCTGAATTTATATATATAGTAACGAGCAAAAGAGCAGCTATGTACAGTTTAGTTTTATTTGTAGAAAATGAACTTTTATTTGAAGAAAATTGACCCTCCCAAAACAATGTGTAAATTAATCTGTAAGTTAACAATACAAACAATGTATTTTCATCATCCATTGAGTAACAAGTTAAAAGACTGAAATGTCTATATTTTGTACTATTTGCACAATGCCATAATATACATGAAAAAAAGAAATTACATTAGGAAGCAGATCACAATCTATTAGAAGACCTCCTGGTAATTAACACTAAATCAGCACAGATTTCTGGCACCCAACTATTCAAAAATAGCAACCAAAACTATTTCACCTGCTAAAATGAAAAAAAAAAATTGGGGTAAGTGTGAGTAGATTTGTGTTTGGAAAGGCTGAGTTTCATTCCATTCTAAAACTCAAAGCAAACTGGTAAGCTCACAATTCTTTGTTAGGTTTCAATTTTGTTTTTTAAAGATAATTCAAACCCAAAGTCCTCCTATTGCTAGTTTAAGTATATGGTATACTCAGAACCCTCCAACTAATCTATATGGCTGAATCTGTAGGGACTGACTTTTGAACATTAAAATGAAAACTGATATTTTAAAACATTCAGGGTTTTTTTTTAATCCAACAAGAATTCTCCTTGCCTCAAAGGAGGGGGGTGTCTTGGAGGATTCTTGTTAACCAAGCATTAAAACAAAATCTTTTTAGTACCTACTAAGAGCCTGATAAAGAATAAGGAAGCTGATACAGGAAGTTGTCAGAAAATTTAATTTCCTTTCATTAACTAGTCTTCTCTACAAATCAGTGCTTGTTAAGTTCAAAGCAGCCCTGAAAGCAACATCAGTTTTAAGTGTGCGTGTGTGTTTAATTCAAACAGGCACATCTGTTAATGAGATTTCCCAAACAAAAACTGTTTTTAAACCAAAGAGAAATCCAAAATAAAAAAAAAACAAGAAAGAATAAAATCAAGGTTTACTGTTACACCTTGTTGCTTTCCCTGAAACCTCTGCAGGCAACAAGCTCTAGCTTAGAGGGATTTTTAAAAATGCATGAAAAGGGTCATTTAAGAATGTTAGTAATTTCCACACATTGAGTCTGAAGGTTCTTTGTTCCTGTCTGTGACAGTTATGTGAGAATACTTCCCCTTAATAGCCTCTCTGTCAGGAAGTGTTAAACCTGCCAAATACAGACAATTAGAGCCTCTTGAATAAAATGCAGGAAGAGTGAGGACTGATGAAGAGCCTGATTACTGTAGAGCCAAGGAGGAAACTTCCATATTTCTTTTCTCCTACAAAATTCATGCATAGCTTTACTAACAGAATTTTAAAGTGAAAGCCACCTAGACCCTCCTCCCGCCATTCAGCTACCTGCAAACCAGAGTAACTGGTTCACACTTCAAGCTCATAGGAAAGCAGTCAACTAGTTATTCCAATTTACATTTCAAAGCAGCACTATTGTAACAAAATTACTCTTTTTTATTACTCCTTTTATTACATTCGCAGCCTTCAAAAATAAAAGCTATTTCATCATCCTATCAGCCCACTTTTGTGAAAAAACATTAAAATAATACATGCTATCTTTCTCCAGTCAAGAGCAGATAGATGCATTACTCATTTCTATTTAAAAATTCTACTTCCGCAAAAGAGACAAAAGAAAGAGAAAGTTAAGAAAGTCTTGTTTTACTATTTTCCCAGCTTCTTCTCTCCATGTTTTCTCCTGGTACTCAGGACTAGTTTAAATATTCCCAATCATTGGGATGTTACGTTCCTATTTCTATGTCCTCTCAGTCTATAGAACCAGCTCAAACTAATCCAGTAAGAATCTCAAGAAACAGAAGTCCAAAGTTAAGCACAGACACACGGTGTTGGAAACCAAATCTATTTCTCAGAGCAAAGGTGTCCATTAGAAATGGAAAAGGTTTTTTCCCCCCAGCTTCATGGCCATGCAAGGCCTGGGTTTCTATGTTATGCTGATATGGAGGAAAAGGTTAGCTACATCTTCTACACATGCTGCAACCCTAGACTATCTCCATACCCAGGCCTGAGTTACAATAAGGTTTCAAATTTAATGTTGGTGCAAATAGCTTCCCATTTGGGGGAGAGGGGTTTTGTAGGGAAAATGTAGCAGAGAGAGAACAACTAACCCTCTGCTTTGTTACTCCCTCTGGAGAATATCACTCTCCTTTGCCAAAAGGCAGCAGCTAAGAAAAATTAACATTTTTCCAGGTCTAATTTGCATACAGGAGGGGGTCCTTCCAGAGGTGTCTATCAGCTGATCTCCTTCCCTGCTACTGTGACACCCAAGTATCAATGCATGCTGCATGGACACATCCAATCAGCTTCTACGGGTCTCCTGAAAGAGGGGAAACACTTTGTTTTAAGACCCAATGCCCAAAATTACTCTCTTCTTTTGAAAACTTTAATAAATGAAAGGCCTGATTAGCATGACTACCTCAGTAGAGGCACACCTAGAGATATGCACCTGTGCTTGCACATTTTGTTCAGTTTAAGGGTAAAATATTGCATGCATTCTCAGAGAAAAGCAGGATTAGAAATGTCGGGATTCTGAAGGAAAAATCAGCATCAGCACACATACATA